ATGGCTCATCTTGTTGATAGTGGGCATGAGGCTGACCCAATCCCTACCTTTCGAATACTATACAGGGTCTCCCCACTCCAGTCGAAAGGCTTGCACCTCCACACCCTTGCTACTGCCGAGGCGATCAGCATTCGGTTGTATCAACCGCTTTTGTGTGCACAAAAGAAGCTGATCAAAGCTGTTAAGCTACCTTGGCCAGACAAAACGGATCCTTCTGAGGGCAACTGTAATTGTGCAACTGCACCTCTGTCCTAGTTTGCCGTTTGTTGCTGGTTCATGCCCTTGGTCGGCACGTGATCGCATCTCATTTGAACTGATCGTTAATCCACTTTTACGCCCATTGATTTTTCACTCAGATGATTGTACGGGTCTGAAGAGGAATCATCGAAAACAATTGTTTACCTTCGGTCTTTTGTTCTTGATAATTTGGATTAATGGTTATTCGCTGGTTCGAAGCCAGACCCCATAAAAGACTTCCACCATGAAGCGATTTCACGCAGGTACCGCCTAGGAATGCTGATCTGGAAGTGGTTGGCTAATCGCATTGGGCAGATAAAAAGCACCAAGGTTAATCCCGTAGGTGATTTGTAGAATGCATCGGGAAAAAGCGGTAGCTTATTTGTAAGTAGTAGGGGGATTTATTGTTTTTTGTGTAGGTTCGTCGCAGTTAGACACGGGCAGACAGCCACCACACATCCAGGAAAACGCTAGATAGCCGTTTCGTCCTACTGGGACTCGTCAGTAGCGCGCACCCGTCGAATCCTGCCGGATCCGAACTCACGACTTTACTCTTGCGAGTCAGCGACTTATGTCACTGAGCCATGGGTGACGGCAGCAGACCGCCATGACTGATATCTAACTGCGATATAGTGCGGCTCATCCTCCACTGTCATGCATGTTATGCTTGTGCAGAGGACAGGACTGGCCCCCAGAGCAACGACTTCCTTTGTAAGCCGCCACCAATCGAGGTTGCATGTAAGCTGCTAAGGCGACTACTGATTATCAATAAATCCCACTACTACTTACAAATAATCAGTAGTCGCCTAGGCAACTTACATTCCACCTCGATTGACGGCGGCTTGCAAAGGAAGTCGTTGCTCTGGGGGCCAGCCCTAGCTTCGGCACATACATAACATGCAAAACAGTGGAGGATGAGCCGCGCTATATCGCAGTTAGATATCAGGCATGGCGGTCTGCTGCCGTCGCCCATGGTTCAGTGACATAAGTCGCTGACTCGCAAGAGTAAGGTCGTGAGTTTGAATCCGGCAGGATTCGGTGGGTGCGCGCTACTGACGAGTCCCAATAGGACGAAACGGCCGTCTAGCGCCTTCCTAGATGTGTGGTGGCTGTCTGCCTGCGTTTAACTGCGACGAACCTACACAAAACGGTAGCTTGTCCAGGCGAATGGGCTCAACTGATAGTAGTTTAATTAAGTGATGGAAGCCGCCGCCTTTACTCACAGGGCACCACGTCACTTAGAGTCTGCGTTAGTCCAGTACACGTGAAAGGATTTGTTAGAGGAAACGATTTATTGGTAAGGTATTTTGTGTAACAGTTCGTAACTACAAGCCTGCATATTTTGCTGCGTGCATCTGTCGGCGTTTGTTCTGACGCATCATTTTGACAATCTTAGTCGCGTTGTTTCTGGTGCCTCAACACAGTTCCCCGAGCTCGACACTAACAAGTACCTCCCGTTGAGTGTATCTGGTTGGTGCTTTAAGTGACTGCTTTCAGCGTTCAGTGCCTCGGTTGGTCTTGAACAGCGCTCGTCCGCTAGACTGCTATAAAAGTAGTGCCATTTACTGATGTAGAGAAGCTGTTGTCCCTGCTCGTCTTGCCGTTCTCGTTACTATAGACTAACCTGCAAGGAGATAGTTACCAGTTTCCATTGATAGAAAGAACACAGATCATCCAGTACCGCAGTGGATTAGTTTCTGGTCATTCACTAGGGGAGATTGCAACACAGCGTGCAGGTTTTTCCGAAATCTCGGTCGGCATACGAGAGGAAGCCTATCGGGAGGAATTTCGGTGAGAGTCAACATGAGGGTTAAACACGCATGAGTTGCCTACGGTGATTCTAGAGGTGAGCTACAATGGGGGCGCTGTATAGACGTATGTGGTAACTACACTGGGTATACACGTGTTATAGTTTGAGAAAGAAATTTGCTTGGATGTAATCCCCAACATTAACCAGTGTAGCAAAATAGATTGAATAGGCGCCCCACAGCAAGCGGCCTGATCAGTTTTCGGACTTTCCAACCGGACTTCATTGGTTGAAGCCCCATACAAACGCGGCAATAAGGGAACACTGTGAAAGAAAAACTCGTCTTTTAAGGACTAAAGAACTATGAAAAAGTGTCAATGGACAGGGAATTGGTGATAAGGGTTACGTTACTTTATCTGGCGCAAACAAATTCAACGAATGCCGCGTTAAAGTACAGTCGTAAACACTCACTCATGACTTACCACTCAATCTCATCCGTTCGTTTTATCTGATTGCAATGCCCATCAATTGTTAGTGAGAACACTGGCAGATTGGCTGCCAGGAGATCCAGATTCTATGCTGTGACTCTTATTATCACGTGAGCCGTCTCTCTCATATCCAACTAAGCTGGCACGAAAGCTCATCGTGTGTCAGTGGGGCCTCTGACAATTCAGCAAGTTAAGCAACTAAAAATCGTCGAACACTAATCCACGTCATCTTGGTCTTCAGTAACGATTTTCACCTGCACCTAGCCCGCCTTGCCTGGGGAATCACTGGTGCAACGATGGAGTAAACGAACAGCTTCGGATTTTCACAACTTTCATAATTCCTTGCTTTAAACATTAGCGAGTAGTAGGGGGATTTGTTGCGTTTTTGGTGAAGGTTCGTCGCAGCTAGACTCAGGCAGACAGTCACCATACATCTGGGAAAGCGCTAGACGGCTATTTCGTCCGAATGGGACTCGTGAGTAGAGCGCACCCGCCGAATGCTGTCGGATTCGAACCCACCACATCACTGTTACGAACAAGCGATTTATGCCACTGAGTCACCCATGGCTCAGTGGCAGAAGTCGCTGTGATGTATCATCATCAAAAACATGATTTACTCAAGTGGAGGGTTACGGTGTGGCTCTCTCACATCCCTGCACTCCATGGCCGACGGTTTCGTCTTTGTTTAGACTCATCAGGTAGAGATAGCCGAGCTGGGAGTGGAACTGGGCGCATAGTGCTTGGCGGATATCGCCATTATCACTAGGCCATTGAGCTCCGCGAGCAGTGTTTGACACAGCGGTTAGAAGTTGATTTTCGGGTTTTGGATCACCCGCCGTGTGTCTTGGATTGCGACACGCAATCTCAATCATGGCCTCGGTTGACTTTGAAGTCAGCCTCTGCAAATACGGTCACTAGGACCGTCACCGAAATGGAGTGGAAGTGATTTACTCAACATACCTGCGGTAGCGGAACCGGATCAATCAGTAAAACTATTGACTCGCCAAGCATTTAACCATCTGAACCGCTCATAAAGAGGATCTAAATCAAGGCGGTTTCATTGCAGACGTACACACCTGCATGCACCATCAGAAAAGTTATGTTGAGCTAGCGGAAGAGTAGATAAATGAACACCCAGAAGGCTTCTAGCTAAGTTCACACCTCAAAGAAACCAAATTCTTACGTTGAATTTTGTGAGGGGTTTGGTATTTTACCCCGCTTTAAGAGTTTCGTCACCCCACCCTACTCGGCTGATGCAGTCGAGAAGCTGCAAGCTCATAAGGAGCCATATGGAGTTATGTTTGTTTATCCTTACCCGTTACTTCAAGTAGTTTATTTAAACTGCCGTTGTACTTTAGCTCATCTAACTGTGATTAGCGTGTTCAATTGTTTCTTTCCGCTTGCATGAGCCCAACATCATCATGGCTCCCGCGGATATATGAAGGAATCAAACCAATGAGAACGCTCACAAATTTATCATCATTATTTACACATTAGATGAAGGTGAGGAACACACTTCAACTATTGTGCTACAATACACAAGTATGTACGAAAAAAACGAGATAATAACATCATAATAAAAATTATAGAATACAAAAAACTGGTGAAATACTGTCTAGTAACATATGAAGCTATAGGAAAGAGATCGTGCTTGGAGGTGGAAGACAAGAGAGATGGGGAGGGACAAAATACCTACAACACAGACGCCGATGAGGTCGGTTCCTTGACACGTGAACAAGTGTATCTAACCAGATGTGTTCATAGTCCTTGGGACCCCAGCCAGGCCAGTCGGGAAATACCAACTGATGCCAAGTTCGAAGTGAGGGAATTCATTCCATTCGAGCAAGTCATCGCCCCTCTTTCAGTCACACCACCGAAGCGCGTAAACAACGCGTGACGTGGGAGTCGGTGTGTTGGCATGCGCAACACACGTGGCCCAACTTGGTGTGTGATGTATAACGATGCTGAGCGGTTCACTCGCTTTTCCTGCACCAAATACAGGACGCTGAACACGCTCATTGCTCACGTGGTGCTCTCACCAGATATGAGCTAAATTGCGAAGGCAGCGATGAGCGAATGTAACTAGTCTCATTCAGCTTGTTGACTGGATGAGCCGAGTTTCGAAACCGTACAGGAGGATTGAAAGTAAATTAGTGGGAAATGACAGAAAGTACTCAGACGGTGTAGTCTTTTGATTAAAACGCCCTGATATTCAACCAGAACCCCAAGTATTAACAGATGTTCTGCAATGCGTGGGCATATTGCATAAGTAAAGATGATCCTCTTATCTGTGAATATGGTTTATCGGGGTTAGGAGAAATATACTAGGTTAGTCGCAGTTTTTAAAACAAAATGGACACTTGATTGACGCTGTTCAGTGTGACTCCAACAGTGAATGGATAACAGAAAGAGCGAGAGAAAAGGTCCTTAGAATGCAGCGATGTAGAAGACCACATTCCGAATGAACTGTAGAACAATCGGAATTGAATGCAACGACTTTCAATCCATTACGTGATGAAGTTACTCACTTCCTCCCGTATCCGCTCATCGCCTCCAAGTCTTCTGCGTTAACATCGCCATCACTCCCATCATCCACTGCGACCGTGGAACCATTCAATCGGGAAGACTGCTTGGTGTTGACACCACGCTGTCGTGCTCGGAACTTTGCACTTGCAGATGACTTATCCTGCTCATCTTCTGAACCGCTTTGGTACCCCGTCTCCGAAGCGTCCCGAAGTGCATCAGTAGTAGAGGAATTTCTGTTATGTAATGGTGCTGTCTGTAATTGTGTCTCGTAATCTTTTAGCAGTAACTCCTTTACTCGCCGCTCGATCCGCAACATGCCTTCTTGATCCGCTGTCTCCGAAGCGGAAAGTGCGTTGCTCCTGGACAAGTCATTCACTGTGAGACAGCGATACACAGGACAGAGGTGAGGACATACTGTACAAGACAATTCTTAATGCAAAAACGGAAGAGGAGTATACGATTCGGGCAGATGATAAGTTTATCGAAAAACGGTAGCTTCCCTCCAAACGCGGATAAGCCCTGGTTCGTATAGTGCTCCTTTACATCTAGGTGATTCGCATTCTGAACACATAAAAAGTAAAGGAAGAAACGACGCCCGACGGTTGCAAAAGAGCGATCCTCTGTTACAAAACATAAGAAGTTTCAGTGACGCTAGGGAGTGAGATCCATGGGTTAGGGTCCAAAAGGAGTCAATGTGAACCGTAGCTCAGATGTGACTGTACATTGAGAGCAACCGAGAAATGGATAACTCTACATTGAAAAGGCGTTCAACGAATAGGAGTCAGAATTGCTGATATAGGCACGATTCATGTTTATGTGTTAAATGGGGACATCGAAGACGAACAAGTGCGCAGTTCATCGTCTATGAAAATGCACCGGCAGATGTGGTGGCGGCCGCGTTGCACACGCTAAACAAATTTCAGTTGTGAGAACGGAGAAACACATAGTCAAATAGTTGCGCAAGTGGAAACTTGACTGTAAATCCGGATGCACTGAGACAGCAAACCGTCCCAGTAACTATGAAAGATACAATAAGACAAGTTTATCAGATCAACTCTGCGTAACTGTGTACGCAAAACCTGCACATCGCCAGGCGGTTTGAGGCAATATTTCCATCCATCGAGTGGCCGCCGTTCTGCGTACGCGAAAGTAACTATAGTTTATTTTAAACCTGACGCTATACACTGTGGTAGAAGGACACGAATCAACTGGTAGCCGAACGGTCACCAACAAATCTCAGGTGGCATTGTATATGTGAGATAGCAGTTAGAACAGGTTGGCTTCTGGTGTATGCTGGGAGAAATCCAATCAGAGATCACAAACATTCTCAGTCGAAAGAAGTCTGGGTAAAGGCCAATATAGTGGGGGGAGAAGTCATCCGAAGGGTACAGCATATCAACATGAAAAGGAGAAAGACAAGTGGTAGCGAAAAAAAATCAGCGCGTCACAAATAGTGGGGGGAATAACACACAGGAACAAACAGAACGGAAATTATCGAGTAGGATACAAGAACATCAAATGGCCTGCAAAAGACATTATGTATCTTCAATTGTCTCAGCGTGTGTTGATGAGAAGGGATAAAGCAACTACTGGAGGACAGAATTTCTGGCAAAATAATAGACATAAAAAAGGAGGAAATTGCTAGAAGTATGGTTTTCCTCCGAGAATTTGATCAACATACGCATTGCTATCGACCTCCTGTAACAACAAGTGAGAAAGATCACCTGCGAATCGAAAAGCAAATTTCGAGAGGAGACAGGTGGCTGACTGTCCAAGCGATCGCTTCAGTTGCCGGGAAAAAGGAGCAAAGACAACAGGATGCATCAAGGGTGTCACCCTAAGCAGTCACCTGACTGTCGATCAAGGAAGGATGATACAATAGACAAGGTTGCGCAACGCACATAAACGCAGTGGCGATGCCACCCCGTGTGGTGGCGAAACGTATGCAGACATTTAATCAAGCTCGGCGAACCAAACACCAGAGGACACAGGAACGAAATCCCGTCCCAAACAAAAATTCGGTTAGATGAACAAGGTTACGTGAAAAAAACATACCATAGTTTAAATCGACGCTGGCGTTTTCTCGATGAACAAAAACGCCAGCAAAACATGCTATTGAGCAGGACAAACACACAAATGCTCTGAGGAATATAGCCCAAAGATAAGCCGCGGCCTGAAAATTCAATGAAATATGTACCGTAACGTCAGTATAACCCGAATTCCAAGGTTAAGCAAAGCAACAACAGTACCCCGGCATCACTACCATGCGACCACGAACAGTCGCACGAGGACTGAGTGTACCGTCAGGTCGACCGGATCTACGCCGATTCGAACCGATGACCTCAGGGTTATTAGACGAACGTGTAATCCTTTCGGGCACCGGCCGACTGAAGTGTCCAAACGAACAAAGGCTCAAAGGTGAGGGCAAAAATGGATTGGTACCCATCAAACCCACTGAAAAGACCAAAAGCTCTTCAATGAACAGTGCGTTAACAATGGCAAGTCATCCATAAAGCATGGCTGAAAAACCAGCACAGAGACCGTGGTTACAGGAGACTAAAATGCCAATGTCGTGTACATGACCGGACGGAAAACAGTCAGTGGCACTCGTAGATTCGAAAGAATAAAGCGCCATTCTGGCTACAGAAACAGAAGAGTTCGTTTACGAAGGAGTGACAAATTCAAGTAGGAAACATGAATTTCCAAAAAATACAAAGTCGGACTGGATTCATGGCTAGTTCATATAACGCATACACACACACACACACGAGAGAGACTCACCTTGACGGAAATGGTGCACAATGTGTGTGACTGACGAGGAGCACAAGTCGTCTGACTAGAGAAGAAAAAAATGAAACACCAAAGGAGGAAACAGAATCAGGTAAAACCAAAGGATGATATTCACAAATAAATTCCCGAGGGGACCAGGTTCCATGCAGGGTATTTCGAGAGAATACTCTGTGTGAAAGCAGGTCTCTGAGGACGGTTCTATGGATGGCTATATTACTTCACCAGGACATTTGGCTATAATTGCAATTATTATTAGTACCAATTTTACAATTTTTCTGACGCATTCAGCTTCATCCACCCAAACAGTTCGTTTGCGAAGCACATGAAGGCGTCAGCAGTACGCCAGATGCACAGTATCGAGGCTACGCTGCTGTGAAACCACCACCGGCCGCACGCGGGCTAGGATACTGCGAGGGTGACTATGCCTCTATGGAGGCTCGAACTGACGCCGCGAGATTACAGGACAAGCTCATTATCACTAGGCTAAGGACTGGCAAGCACTTAGAGAAGCCGGTACACGTATACGTTTTATGCGATCCTGCTGTACATACTGATCAGATCACTCAGTTGGACTGTGCCTCGCACTGTCGAGAAATATAGCATTTTATTTAGTTGCAGTGTCCAAGATTAATGGGCTCAAGATGAACACGGACCAGTTCTTCCTTAAGCGACTGGCCAAGACAGTGTTGTCAAGGCACTAGTGGCTCGGGTACGTATGCCTGGGCACCGCTTACCTAGGAGGGCCTTGTTTAGTCGGCCAGGTGTAGGGTGGCGCAAGGCTCGAGGTGGACAGAAGTTGACTTGGCAGTGAGAAATGAAGTCACTGACGACCAAACTAGGTACCGTTGGTCCGTCTCGCCTTCCGGGCTGGAGTCCACGTGACTCGCCTTGTGCTTGGCTCGAGACTTTACAGGACATGGCTCGCAGTAGACACCAATGACGCGTCTGCTGCCGTCTCCTAATCGGATTGCCTGTTTAAAGTGTGTTTGCTGCTGAGTTATCTACGGGGTAATGGCTGATTATGACGCGTGGCAGTGAAAGCCGCAAGGAAGCTGTCTCGCCAACGCCGCCTTATCTTTGCACGATAGGCAGCTGTTTGTGACGGTATGTTGTTAACACAAGGTGTAGGCGCCTTGACCCTGAACGTTTGCTTAGGGCATTAAGGTTTTCAAGTAAGTCCCCCTTCTCTCCCTCTTATTCTTTGTTTCATAGGTCCTCATGATTGTATGGCAGCCAGACATCAGTTCACATGGCTGATGTACTGCTGTTGATGATGATGATGATGACTAGTGCCATCACAACGAGACTGGACCTTAACGTGGTGCGACGCTTTGCATACCTTATTGACCCAATGAGCGATAGCGGGTGGTGCCCCCGGGCCCTTTGAGAGCTATTCCTACCAGGTTGGTCCATGGTGAGAGGTCAGACGAACAAAGTCCCCTGGTCCTCCAGGTTGGGCGTTTGAAATGGGATGGCGTCCATTTCTGTAAAACCAAGTCATTGCCACCTCCCCGCTGCGTTGCGGACAGATTTCTGAGCCAAATGCTTTGATTGTGGACACCAATTGTCCTTCTGTCTAGGTCTGGGCGCCCAGGTAGTATTTCAGCCCACCTACAACTATGACAAGTTTCCCAAACTCTAACTACATCCTGCATCGGCCGCCGCGAAGCTCAGTAAGGGTTGCCTTACCTGCTCCACACAACAGGGTGGATAAGCGGAAACATGCTACTGCTGGCGCCTCCCAACTTCTTTTTCACCTGTCTCTCTTACTCCCCACCAAAGTCCAATTACTAATTTTTCTTCTGTAGCCCCCAGCTTAATTGACAGCAGCAGTTTTGACACTGAAGTCGAGTCATCTGTAGCTACCTTCCCGTAACACCCACTGGATTCCTATCGGCAACAGTCCTTTATTAGGCCACACCATTCCGTTTCCATGGCCGCATTCAACGTCCGCTCAACAGTTTACACTTGCAGGCATGTTAGATACACTGTGTATTGATGTGTGTTGCGTATTCGAAACTAGAATCAATGACCCTCGTGGGGTTGTTGAGAAAACTGTGCCCGGCCTGTTCTCTCGTTATTGGTTGCACGCATCCGAAAACACTGATGCGGCAGCTTTTGGTCAAGTTGGAGTAGGTGTCATACTTAGTTCTACAGCTGAGTCATAGTTGGTTGACTGTTTGTTTGTGTGCAGCCCATTTGAGGACAATGACCACAATTGATTCACGAAGTAGTACAAGACGCTGTTTGTTTGTGGTTGCCACTTATGCTCCCACAGACTGCAGTTCTGTAGCTGTCAAGGACACATTCTACCACTAACTGAACACGCTACAAAGCAGTGCTACTAGTTCAGATATTATAGTACTTGCAGGGAATATGAATGCACAATCAGATCGTCTGGGCTCTTCAGAAGCTCAGTTAAGTGGTAATTATGGGTGTAATTCCGACCGCACGGACAACGGCAGGCGGATTTTGCAACTGTGTGTGGAACCCCAGCTGTTTCTTAGTAGCACAGCTTTCAGACAAAGTGGGCGCCGAAGTGCCACTTGGGGTCCTCGTGTAGCCGGCCAGTGATGGACCCAACTAAGTTACAGGTGGGGTGGTTCCATTCTGGATTGCCTTTCGTCCTGGAGTCCCTGCGTCGACTCTGCTCATGCCTTGGTAAGTATGTCGCTTTCCCATGAACTTCAGCAGGAAGCGCGCCATGTGTCTCCCCGATTTGCAATTAAGAAATTATCGCAGCGGCACAATAGCTGAGATGTTTTCCACATGCAGCTAAGGTGTGTAATGAGGATAACTCAAGAATTGTTGCGCAAATGCAATAACTCGTAGCACATGGGTTGCCCTCCAGCCGTACCACCGGGCATGGTGTAGGTGTTAAACGCAAGCCAGAGCATGCATGAGTCGGCACAGTGAGAAATACTACCATAGCATTGGGTCTGACCACATAAGAGCTGTGTCATTTGAATAACATGGAGTCATCAGTAGATCAGCCGGCTGAAGTTTATTCCAGAAGTGAGATGAAGCATAGTACATTATTCATCGGCTGTTCGATCACGAAGTGGAAACGAATGGGAAGGAAAGCGCTAACTCAACTCACAATCAGCCAGTGGCAGATTGATAATGATGTCTCGGTCTAGTAATTTAAAGGTCGCCGGTTCGACTTAGTGTAAGTGTGGGCGGCAACCACGTAGTATCCTTAGTTTTCTCCCAAATGGTGGTGGCTGCGCGGCACCGGAGCGCCAGTACGGTGTGCGGATGATATCGCTTTTCCTTCTCTTCAACTAAACCCACAGAGATTTCTTTACAAGCTCTTACGGAACAAAAAAAAGCATTATATGGGAAGTTCAGTGCAGAAGATTTTCTACCGCAAGCGCTTCACAGAGAGACTGAGCCAGACAGACGTCACAGACTGAATCAAAGGTGGGTTTAAAGCCAAAGGAATGTTGATATGGCATCGTTCAAGCGAAGCGTAAAGCATGCGAATGAAGACAAAGCAGCCACTTCTTCTTCCAGTGACTTCACCATCCTGAAGAGCAAGCATTCATCTCACAATTGTGGTCACGGAAGCCACAGTAGCAATACCAATAGCAACGCAAATTACCATGTGGTCATTTAATTGTAAAACGCCATATATGAAGATAGACAGGGTTAAGCACCATGAACAAGGTGAATGAAGTGAGATCAAACGCAAGAAAGATACGCATAAAAAGAGATACACGAAGACTCCACTCAAAGCGAAAACCGGTGAACGCAGTGTGACTGAAGCGACGAGGCATATGAGGCAAACATCTTAAAATCAATAACGGCACGTGAAGAAGAGGACAGTTACATCTACCGCACATCCAGTAACTGAAAACCAGCTTCAGATAGCACCACCGCCCTACTGCCAACGAGGCCGTTCAGTCGGAAGCGAGTTCCGAAACAGGTCGGTCACGCATCCATTAAGTCATCAGATGATAAGCTCTTTGTCCTCGACAACGCGAAGCACACCTTTACAGGCATGATCGTGTTAACACAATAAAGTGTGATCAAAAATACATGTTTTATATAACACTGAATGTATGTGTCTGGGTGTATCATTGTATGTAATTGTTATGTATGTAGCTGTGCAGCTTGTGCTTGTAAGTGTGTTGCTCTTTTTGACTGATATCGTCAAGAATGTGAGAATGCAAACGAATGATGTCTGTGGGTTGGATAGCATTATCCGGGTACCCCCGGGGCAGTGACTTTAGTTTGTGGCTAGTCAGGTCCGCTAACGAACGCGCGTGCATTAGAAATTGTAAGTGCTGTAATCAACAATGAAGTGGAATGCAGAAGGCACACTCACTCGATCTGTGTATCGAAAACCTACTTGGACAGAATAATATGTGAACTTCAACAGTTTCTGTCCTATAAATTACAAACGAGCATTAGTCTACACTGCCTACGCAAGAGATCGTAAAATTTGTTCCGAAGATACGATCGACAGTGAACTAGAACGCGTGGCATCAACACTACAGGAAAATAGATACCTCGCAAGATTCATAGCTCGGTGTGCAAGCACAGAAAATAGTAAGAAGACTTTGATAAGTGTCCCCAAGAAAAAAGCGTTCATTACGTTGCCATTTAAAGGCAACCAAAACGATGATTAGAGCACCGTCTCCGCCAGGCAGTTGGGAAATGTTACTACGCGGCCGAACTGGTGTTATTGCACCAAGTTAGGAAGTTGCTATGCAAATCCAACCTAAACAAGCCACACCCTCACGTTACCGCCTCTTGCGTTTATCTATTCCACTGTACTTGTGGTAGCAAGTAAGTTGGCCGAACTGAGAGCAAACTATCCACTAGAATTTCAGAGCATATTCCACGAAATATGGTCGCTAACGGTCCAAAACTGCCGGTTAGATCTACTGCTTAACACGTCCTGGATTGCACAATGTGTCAACGTCTTGATTTGTTTAAAATAATTAACCTACAGAGCAATGCCCGATTGCTGCAGTATGCCGAAGCCTCAGCTATTCAGCGGCTTAAGCCCGAGAACAGACGAAACACGTGAATTCAGCG